ACATCACTTGTAATCAGGGAAATACAAATCAAAACTACAATGAGATACCATCTAACACCAGTGAGAATGGCACATATTAAAAACACTAGCAACAACAAATGTTGGCGAGGTTGTGGAGAAAAAGGAACTCTCCTGCATTGCTGGTGGGAGTGCAAACTGGTCCAACCACTATGGAGAGCTGTGTGGAGATTTCTTGACCTACTAAACATAGAGCTTCCATATGATCTAGCAATTCCACTCCTAGGTATTTACCCAAATGACACAGAAACATTAATTCAAAAGGGCACCTGCATCCCTATGTTTATAGCAGCACAATTTACAATAGCTAAGCTTTGGAAACAGCCCAAATGCCCAAAAATAGATGACTGGATCAAGAAGATGTGGTACATATACACCATGGAATATTACTCAGCAATCAAAAAAGATAAACACATGCAGTTTGTAGCAACATGGATGGAGCTAGAAGGGATCATGCTCAGCGAAATAAGTCAGGAAGAAAAAGAAAAATACCAGATGGTCTTACTCATAGCAGGAATTTAGAAAACCTAAATAAGGGACCAGGAAAAAGACTAATTAATACAAAGTAAAAATCAAAATCAACAAGCAACTATAAACCAGAGACACGCTGGGGTGGGGGTGGGAAGGGGCAGTGAGAGGAAGGACTAGGGTCAAAATAAGGAGGGGTGCAATTGTATGGGGAATATAACCAAAATGAAAATGCATACATTGTGCAAAAATGAAAAATGATGTAAGAATTATATAAAATAAAATATTAGAAAAAAATTATGGGTTCTTTTCATGGTTAAGTCAGAAACAAAGTACAGGCAATGGCTGAGGTCTCTGGAAGAGTATTTCTGCTTTGTTGTAGATGAATGAGATATTGGTACTTTCTTCTTCCCCTTTCATAATTTATTATGCTTTATATTATATGATTTCCCAACAACACATAAAGCCAAATGCTTGGTCACGCCATTAGTCTTTTTTTTTTTTAAAAGATTTATTTATTTATGCATACAAGAGCTGTGGTACAGGCCAGAGGGGTGAGAGGATTCACTAGAGACAGAGAGGGGAACAGAACAGGCAGACTGACTGAAAGACACTGCTGAGGGGAGCAGCAGGTGAGACAGGAAAGGTCTGCCTCGCCATGTGGGTTTGCTCTCTGGCAGCTGGGGATTGAACTCGTGCTGCAGAGGCTGCAGATTGTTTCATAGTGCGGTGCTTAACACCTTGTGGCTTAACACCTTGCGCCACCAGGGAGACCCCACGCTGTTAGTCTTTAGTTTCCCCTTTCACCATCTTTTCTTTGCTAGTGCACTGTTGATGTTTAAATCTGAGTCTTAGTTTTGGACATCTCTTGATTCTTAATTTACCCAGCTAATGGGATTATTTGTATCAAAATGTTTCAGAGATGATCCAGACTTGAAAACATCACAGAGGATTTGGTGGTTTTCCATTGCTTTACTTAATTTCATCTCTGCAGCATTTGACACTGTTGTCTACTTGAAAAAAAAAAAAAAACAAGTCTTAGATGTTAGATTATCATACTCTGGGCTCCCCTTGTACTTATCTGATCCTTTCTTCTTCTCTCTCTTCTTCTATTCCTTTAAAGCTGATGTTTTCCAAGATGACACATTCTTCTTTTCTTCCTGTACTCTGCATAGTTTCTCTTGATGTCTCAGTTGTTTTAGGCTACAGTGTATGTACTCATTGAGTCTTGGATACAACACTCTTGTCCTAAATTCTATTATCATTCCAGACCCTTGCTTCCAACGCTCTAGCTAACTTTCTAACTCTCATTAATTCCTATTTGTGTTTTGCTGTAGTCTTCTAAATGGCTTGTTTATGAAAGATGTTTCACAGTTCAGCTCAACCTTCATCTGCTACCAGCGTTTTGTCTTGGAAAAATAGAGTTAGGCTTACTATCCCCCTCTTTCAATATCTCTTATAGATTCCCAGGACTGCAGAATAAATCAGCACCATCATCCTGACTCTAAGTACTTATTGTGTGTGGAGAACTATTAGAACCATGTCATATATATTAACACTTCTAATTATAAAATCAGCTTGGGTGTATTCTCATTTTACAGATGAGAAAACTGGCACCAAGCAGATGTACAATGTGCTCTAGACCACACAGAGACCAAGGCCAAGTTCAGTTTGATTCGAGAGCTGTTCCATTACTGTCTTCAGCTTCCTATATGTTCTAGTCATAAAACAGTACACAAGACAGTGCTCAAATGAAGCCAAGAGGCAGCAAGTACTAAAGGACAGTGCCAAGGTCGGGGACAGGTCACTGTCTACAGATTCTCACCTGTGCTCTGGAAATAGCAAAAACACTCAAACTTGGGGTGTAAATACATTGGGTTTCATTTAATAAATAGGAGATTGGGGAAACAACAGAGATTTTAAGACTACAAATGGCAGGCTGTCTCCACAGTATCCTGTAGTCCCAAATGAAGGCCACTCCTGCAAGATGGTGCTGTCACATCAATGAGGCCCTGAAGTTGGTAGCACACTAGTGAGCAGTGGACCAGGATCCAGCTATGGCAGCAGTTGGAGGAGCCCACAGGTGGGGCTGCTGAGAAAACACTGCAATAGCCCACAGCAATAGTCTGAAGGCCAGATTGGACAGAATTGGATACTGGACCAGACAACAATGGAGATAACAGTGCTGGGAGGTGGTACCATACAACAAGAAGCAATAGGGAGGCCTTAAATGTGGCCAGACACAGAGTGCCAGTCACATGTTGGCAGCATTGCTTAGTAATGACCAGTGGTGCCAGTCACTACCAGTTACCATGAAGTGGTTACAGAGACACCACTGTCACAGCTCTTTGTGAGCTATTGGTGTGAACCAAAAGCCAACAGCAATTTAAGACACCGGGCCAAGACCAAAAGTGCTTCTTGAATGCTACGTCAGAGGGAGGGCTGGAAGCATGTGCAACGATTGGGTCTTAGGTGTGAAGGTCTATGGAGGTGTGGAGGTATCTGAGTCCCAGGGAGGTCATGCCCTTGATGTTTCTTTGGAGACCATCTGCTGAACCCTTCTCTCGTTGGAGACCAGCTGCTGAATGGATCCCAAGCTGGCCCTTGCCTTCCTCATATCCTTTTCAGGGTCCCCCATCCTACGAGACTAACTGTACTGTTTTTCAATCCTCACTTTTTGATTGGTGCTGTTAAGTACCAATTAGCTCACTCTTATTTTCAATCTAATAATGAATTCAAGCCTTGACTAACAGCTGGAGAGCTCCAGCCTGATTGGTGCATTTATGATACTGGCACCAGATTTAAAAGGGAAAATCCCTAAGCCTGCAGAGACTCAAGCTGCCCTGACCTGAGGGCAGGTTCATGGGCCTGTGGGCTCTGAGTGGCCTCAGTGGGGCTGGAGGCACACTCTACCCAGTGTCTCTTCAGTGGAGCCAGGTGTACCAATGTTGGGAAGGGGTGGAGCACTGTGACACAGGTCCCTGCTGCTCCACATTGGCCTGGCACCCTGCAGGCCTCTACTGCCTGGGGCTCCAGAGAGCAACAGTGCTAGAACTGCCTCAGTGGGGCCCAACACTCCTCCCCAGGACCTGAACCAGGAGCTGTGGGACTTAGGGTCTCCTCCATTTGAGAGCCACAAGACTGGCCTGCTCTGGGATGGGAAAACTCTATTGCTGCTGCCTGTTTTTGGAGTGGCCTGGGCTCTGGCTGCCAAGTCTCGGGGGGCTGCTTACAATGGGGGTGGCAGGTGGTGAAATGCATCCCTCAGCTGCTGCTTTCACAGAGGCCTACATATGCAGCTGCCACTCAACCTCCAGGCGATGCTGTTCAGGTAGCGGCCAAAATATAGGTACAGCTGTTTATGCCATGCCCTACACTACACACTGGGGGTCCACCTACAGTCACATGAATCTATCTCCTGTTTCTCAGCACTCCATCATCGTCACATCTCCCTACCTTTGTGCCTGCACCCCTGCCTGGAATGTTGATAACCCATCATTTACCTGGTTAACTCTTACTCCTGCAGCAAGACTTGGTCCCAAACCATTTTCTCTATGAGGACTCAAAACTCACTGGACAAAGTGGGTCCCTCCCACCTCTGTGAATACTAAGCTTTGTGCGTACCTTTCCTATTATGGAACATCCTTTGTTTTACTGAGCAGTGGTTTCTGTTTATTTATCTGTGTTTTCTACAGACAATGAGCTCCTTAAAATCCAGAAGTACTTATCTTTTATCCTTGTGTCTTATCATTTAACAAATTCTATACAATTATTTATCAAAAAATGTTTGCTGGAAGAACCAATTAACCAGAGGTTCTGTGAGGTCAGAGGCTGCATCTTTTTTCTTTATTGCTATGTACCCACCATCTAGCATAACACCTAGGAAGTGCTTGATTGATAGCTGTGTGAAAAAATAAACTGCATTATTATGGTTTTAATGAAATGCAACCAAGCAGAACTTCTTATTTTTCACTCCCTGATTTGTAGGTAGCAATCTCAGCAGCAGCAAGTTGGGATCTCTTGGTGTTTAATACTATTTTTTCCTTTTTTATAATTAAGGGTCTTGGTTTCTTCTTGTCCTTGTTTAAAAAGTTGTCTGAATTTTTTTTGGATAAAGTAAAAAGATTCAAGCAAGTATTAATTTCACCATGCAGCTGAATAAGTGCTTGTAACAACTCAGCTAAAGGAAAAATAAAGATGGGCACATTGTACTGCTAACAAGTTATCTGAAAATTAAGAGTCATAAAAACATATCCCTATTGAATTTTAGGCTACCATCTCTGTTTATAATTTAATATGTTCAATTTTTAGACTAGAGAGCTGTTTAAGTATCACCCATATTTGCTAAGAATATAACAAAGCTATTTGCTTTTTCCTAGGTATTGATATATTAGAATTAGAGGGATTAGATATTTTGTAATTAAAAATTATTTTTTTCTTGATTGAGATCAAACAGAAAAAGGGTTATATGAAGAGGTGTCAGGGACCACACTGCCTGAGCATGGAGCCCTTACCTGCTGACCAGGCTTGATGGGCGAGAGTGTGATGCCCTGGGTGTTGATCACTGGCAGGATCTGGTTCCCAATGACCGTGGCAATGATCTGGCCCTGGGCATTTGTCAGGAGCTGGGGGGTGATAGGTTGCACTTGAAGGCCCTGTGTGCTGCTTGCTGTTTGGCTGGATGGTCCTGGATTCGGCATCAGAGGAATGGTTCCAATAATCTGCAAGAAATAGGTCCACAGGTGAGGCACTGGGTTCAGCTCTGGGCCGGCACATGCAGCATGCAACCATTCACGACCTGGTCTTAGTAGAAGACTCCCCGAGAGCAAATTCAGAATTGGGGAACAGATCTGAAGCTGTGGCTGTATTAGAAGGTGGCAGAAGGGCCTCCCTGGTGGAGCATGCAGTTGAGCGCAGCGCTGTGAAGCTGTCCACAGCCTCTGCAGTGCGGGTTTGAGCCCAGCCTGCCGGGGAGATACCCACATGGTGCGGCAGTGGGTATTACCCGCTGTTCCCCTCAGCCGTGTATTTCAGTCAGTCTGCCTGTTCTGTTCCCCGCTCTGTCTCTGGGGAATCCTCTCACCCTCCTGCCCATCTGGCCTGTACCCCAGTTCTTGATAAATAAATAAATCTTTAAAAAAAAAAAAGAAGGTGGCAGGAGATTGAGTACATGGGTACATGGGAATGAATGGGAAACACCTTATTTAAAAATAAAATCAAGCACCAGTGATGGCAGAAACATCTGATTCCTGCCAGGGCAGCACATCTTTCTCTCAGAACCAGATAGAGGAAGGACTTCCCATGGCATGCAAGGATGAGAAAGGCACCCCTTCCCCACTGGAGCTCCTCAAACACTGTGTTCCCTATGTCCTTCCTCTGCCTCAGTTCCCCTTTGCTGTCTCCATCTATTCTTCCCCTTATGAACATCCTGCTCTCCTCTGGGGTCAGGGTCATCTCTCTGATGCCCAGCATGACTATGGACTTCAGCAAATGGTGCCCATGTAGTTGAGAGCCTGGATTCTGGAGTCAGGGAGATGGGATTTCACTCCCAACCATGCCATCTACTAACTTTGCAATATTAGTCAAGGAGTCTAAGTTTTCTGAGTCTTGAGAAAATCAGATCATAAACAAATGTTTGAAACCCCAAATAGTGGTAAAATGACTACTGAGGACTAATTAAATGATGTGTTATAAACTGTTGCTAGAGGCTAGACATCATGAGGTAGGTTGTAGGAAAGGCTTGTTTTTGTATCTAGAAGCTTCTGATTTCAATGAAGGGACTTCAGGGACTGCAGGAGAAACCTGGCTGGATCTAATAACCACACTAAGGAGAAAGGGAACACAGGCAGGCACAGGTATCTGTAAAATCTAGAAACTTAGGCCACATTTATATGTTGTTAGGGACAAGTTTAATCTGTGAAAATGAAGATAAGATCCATGTTTCTCAGTGCTGTGGACTCCCCTGGGGAGTCGTGAAGCCTATGGCTGGCTGCTTTTCTGTCCACACACCACAGGGTGGTGAAGCAGCTCTGTGAGACCGGTCATTTCCAGGGCCAATGTGCAGATTGAATTGTGGTGTTGTGGCCTGGGGGCCACCAAGGCATATTAATATTTTCTCAGGAAGTACTTTAGTGTAAATTATTTCATTGCATTCCACTTTCCTGCAACAATCTATGAAGTGGATGGGAGTCCTTCTCCCGAGTAGAACATCAGACGTGTGAAGACTCAGCTGTCACTTGATGGAAGTTTGTCAGTGACAGATCCCCAAATACTTTCTTTTCCATTTTTTCATCTGGCTCTTACCACATGGAGGACATAGAGGAGACCCACTCTTAGAAAAGACACTACATCGTGTTTGCAATTTGCTACAGGACAAATAAGTAGCTTGCGAACTGAGTTTATAAGTGATTTTGCTTTCTGTTCCCCACAGCACCCCAAATAGGACTTTGAACATAATTTCTTGATAAATGTCTTTTGCAAGAACAGTTTCTAGATTCAGAAACTACTGGGATTGCAGAATAACAGCAAGACCACACCATTCAGTAGCAAAGATCATGACAGAAATGCCATCCCCTCCCACCTGCAATCGGGCCCACTGCTTGCACCACAAAAGCTCCTGTGGGATGGGTCTAATGGAGGGGCTGTGCGAATATCAAGTATCAATGGCAGTTGTCAATGGAGGCTGATAAAGGTCAAGTAATTACTGTGAGAGTGGTCAGCAGTCCCGCAGGGAGTTTACAGCGCTGCAGTCTCACTGAGCAAGCCTGCGGTGTCCATCCCGCAGCATCAGCAATGAGCAGGCTCCATCTGCACCAGCAAGGTCAGGAGGAGTCCACGTCAATAGAGCAGAGCGCATAAGTACTTTATTGATGAGTGTTCTTGCATTAAGCAGCTCAGGATTCAAGGGCTGTTCCTATGACCCTATAGGCAGTGTGGCGAGGCCTAGGAAGCAGGCACCCTGTCCTCTGCCTTTTCTGGATACTCCCCCTTCCAACAGGTGCACTGTGAAATGTCCCCTCTTTCCACAATGCTCTGGGAAAACTCGGCGGCCTGTCCACCCATCCTGGCTTCCTCATGTCTTGGGGTCTGAGAAGCCCCACTCTCTCTGACTGGCTTGCGTTGAAAGCCTGTGGAAACTGGATTCATTTAGATAGCAGAGTTGTGGGTTCTATTTTAGGCGAGATGTCAGCAAGTTTAGGAGCTGGTGTATGTAGCCTGGGAGCAGGCTTCAGAGCGCTGCACAGGCCTGACAGCTACAGAACACACCGTGAGGCAGAGAGAGGCATGCTCCCAAGAAGATTGACACCAGTCTGTGCTTGTCTCCCTAGTAATGAGACACTGACTGTTTTCTGGGTGAAAAGAAGAAGAAAGGCAAATGCAAACTACACACCAGCCTCTTAAGTACAATCTTGCTTCCCAACACTGCGATATTACTAAAACATGGAGCCACTTACGACCCTCACCATCTGCTCCGCTCTTCTTTCAAAGACCTTGGTGTTATTTACTGAGGGTAGGCAGCTCCAGTGGCAGAGCCTGCGTGATCTGGAATGGCACAAAAGGAGCTCTTGGATAAGGAGAGTTTGCTGCAAGGTATGGGGCAGGGCCAAGGCAGTTCCAAAGTTGGAAGTAGTCACTGTGGTTATTTTTGTCATTTTCCCCCCTCTCTAAGAAAAATCCAAACTCAAAAAATCAAAAACTTGAAGTGCATCAAGGGGAATTTTCTAAGATTCCCTAATGTGTTACACCGTGCTTATTTTAACTTAACTCCCATTCATTGAAGTGTAGAGATGGTCACATAGTGTTGTCCGAACATTCTCAGATGTACCTATTTTGCTTAGACTAGGTCTGATTCCTCTCAGAGCTTCCAAGAGGTCACGAAAACTCTTCATTGAACTCTGACTTCAAAGAGATCACAACAGAAAATATGAGGGAAGCTGAGGCAGCAAATATGTGAAGCTCTTGGCACTCATAAAAGGCTGGAAATTTTACCTGTGGAAGTTCTATTTTAAATTAAAGATTTTTTGACATTCAGGAGAAGAGTGTTTGCATTCACACATATATCAATTGAATCAGTAATTTAAAGCAGGTTTGACATGGTGTGAGGGGATCTCTGATTTGAGGGCAAAGGTAGAAAGAGGATGCTTTTGAAATGCTTGCATTCCTAGGACTAGCCTTTGGAATTTAAATGTCAGGCTCCCAGAAATAAGGATTTGCTGCTAGGAGGAGTACAGATGGTAGGACATATCACTGATCATAGAAGGTCACTGGGCTGTGACTCCTGATGAAGGTGTAACTAAAAGACAAATCCCAGCTCTCCTACAATGTGGAAGATTCTGGCAGAGCAGCCAGTTATCTCCTAATATCTGCAGACCCTTCTCTATGCTAGGCACAGAATCAGGTGCTGTGGAGCAGGTCAAGAATATACAATCCGGGCAGGGGAGGGGGTGATAAGACAGGCAAATCTTATGCAATGATACTGATATCCAATGGAGAAATGATATGTGCTAAATGAGTGGCAAGTGCTGTCTAGTAAAAATGTATCTACTTGGTTGGTACTCAGAAGAATATTTGGAATGAAGGAGTGATTTCAGAGGAAGAAGACAGGGATGGTTAGGAAAGTTTCACAGAAAGAATGGGGGCAGAGCAGATTTGCAAGTGGAGTGGGGTTTGACCAGACAGAGAACAACAGTCTAAGCCTGGAGGTGAGAAACTTGGGGGAGGCTGAGTCAACTAGTTTGGAAACAAAAGAGAGTTGAGATAGTGGAGCAGTGACAGGCTAGCTTGGAAAGGTCAAATTCCATCCAGGCAAGGTGTTCCATGAGTGGGTTTTAAGGGGGTGTGGGAAGAAGGGCTGAAATGGAGCTATTTCAGGTGTGAATGTGACAGCATGGTTAGAATGGACTGGCATGGCGAGACACTAGAGACCAGGAGATTAGTTGCTAGGATGCTATTGTTGTCATCCGAGTGTGAAGCCAAATGCCTCAATGGATCCTTGACACAGGGATTGCTTGATTCGTTGACTTCCACCTCAATTCAAAAAGCACAGGTTACTCTATGCCTAGGTTGCAACATTAGAAAATTTCAAGTGAAGTTATTGCCCCATCAATCCCACAGCAAATAGCTCAGGCATCGTTTGCAATGATCCTCTATGTCTTTGCCCAGACTCTAACAGTAATGATTCATCTCTGATGAATGCTTTAACCAGAGTGAGGCCCATACAGGTATTGTAATGATAATTTGTGATCTGAAAGAGTTCCAGCCTTTCTGACAGGGGACTTATTTGGTTGTTACTGCTCTTATCCACTTGCCTCTTTGCTTAGAGAAGTTAAGAGTATAGACCAGAACTGAGGAATAAAATCCATGCTGCAAAACCAACAAAAAAAATTGTTAAAACAACTACTAGTTTTTATTAGTATAACATATTCCTATTTCTGTAAGAATTTGTGTGACTTATACATACATAATCGTGACTATTATTAATTCAGCAGCAATTATAATTTAAGTCATGATAAAAATGATCTTGTCATTGTAGCAAACCTCAGCAATTCAGGGCCATGCAACCCCTTTAGACCAGCAGGTTATTACTACAATGTCCATACAGACCTCAGTTGTGTTGAACTGTTCGGTTAGAGCTGAATTCTGACTGATGGAGGATAACCTGCACTGAATGTATTCACTGCCAACATGGAGGTGTCATGAACAGCATTTGAGGGTGATATCA